ATATATAGTAGGCATATCTCTGTAGCAGTATAGCCTCAGAATATACAAAGTGTAAAGTGTAGAGTAAATCTGCAGACAGAACATAAAACACACACACATATACTAGCGTGAACCTTACAAAAGATATACTGTGATCAAAAATCTTTAGATGTTACAGAATACATGCTGAGTTCATAGTATATATTTTATCTTCCTACAGTACAGAACATACTTTAGTGTACACTGGCTCTGTAGACAGTATAGGATATATACTATATATAGTGTATAGTGACTCTGTAGGCACTACAGTACCTAATACATATTCCACACCACAGTATGTAATAAATATGTAGCTAGCACAGTATAGGATATCTCATGTACACAGTGTATAGTGCGAATGTAGACAGTACAGAATAAATGTATGCATTATATATTGTGAATCAGTACGCAGGGCAATACAGAATATATACTGTCCAGACTTTGTGGAGTGATTTTCAGCCAGTACACAATATATACTGTATACAATGTATGGCTATTCCCTGGACAGTAAAGAACATAACATACTGCACACACAAGGTAGACAGTACAGTGATTAGTGAATTTGTGGACACTGGTTAGTAAGCCTTTAGATAGTACAGAATCCTGCACACATAAAATTAATATATAGACAGTATTTGCACAAAGTGCAGTGAATCTGTAGACAGTGCTGGGCATAGTGTGCACACAACCTAAAGACAATCTATAGACTGTACACTGGTTGGTAAACCTTCAGATAGTACAGAATCCTGCACACATAGGAATAATATATGGACATACAGATTATCTTCTATAAGCACAAAGTACATTGAATCTGTAGACAGTGCTGGACATAAACTGTGCACACAACCTAAAGTCAATTTATAGAGTACACTGGTTAGTAAATCTTTGGATAGTACAGAATACATACTGATCAAAAAAGATAAAGAGAAATTGTAGACACTAAGGAATACATCTTGCACATATAGACAGCACAGAATACCTACTGTATGCACAAAGTGCAGTGAATCTGCAGACAGTATGATATATAGTGTGCACACAACCTACAGTACAGGATATATACTGTGTGCACATAACTTACATTTAATATGTATATATATATATATATATGTGCACAAAGTGCAGTGAGTCTGCAGACAATATGATATATAGTGTGCACACAACCTAAAGTCAATCTGTAGACAGTACATGATATATAGTGTGCACACAACCTAAAGTCAATCTATAGACAGTACAGGATACATAATGTGCACATAGCTTAAATGTAATCTATAGACACTACAGGATATAGTGTGCACTAAAGTCAATTTGTAGGCAGTACATTATACGTACTGTGCACACAACCTAAATTCAATCTATATAGTATATACAGTGTATATTGTGGGCAGTATGTGTGCATTGACTGACCAAACCCCATCAGCAAAAAGTTCCTAACCCAGGGATGGAAGCGCTTCGAAAATGTTTAACAATGTATCTTTGTACATTAGATTAAAAACTGTGCGGGAAAAAAAGTGTGTCCACATCTAACTATATACCCAAAACACCCACATCATATGTACATATACACATAAAAACATACAAGGTACTCCGCAAATGGCATTGGTAACATAATAAATGTCTGTAATCCTGTAACATGTTAGGTTACTACAAAAT